AGCAAGAAAAAAGAAAATACTTGAATGAAAAGCAGTTTTTTTAGGGGTATGGGTTCTATTATAGGTTAGAGTTTAAGAACAAACTATGCTAAAAACAAGGACCCAGTGTTGCAGAGCAGAAAAAAGACAGATCTTTTAGTACAAAAAAGTGAACAAACAGTGCATTTACATGTTATAACGCAAAGAACTAGAGCACTATGCAAATAATTGCATATCAAGAACAAACAGACAGCTTTTTGAAAGAAAGCTAAATAAATTCTAAGAAACAAGACACATTACATATAATTGAAACTACATCTAACTACTTTCAAGCCTTCAAGCAATCAGTAGTAGGGAGCTTAGCAAGACTAGCATTAGTGGTGTATTGAAAGAAAAAGATAAAAATGACACCTCTAATATTAAATTAGTTTGAACATTAAGTCACATTATTTTCCAAATAGTTGCTTCATTTATTGCTATTGAATACCCTACAACAATATTATTTTATGTAGGAACAAAAAGCTTAGTTGATAACAGAATTAGAGAGACTGTTAAAAGAAAAGGCAATAGTTAAAGTGAAAGAAGGGCTTTAAAGACTGAACTGCTTGCTAGAAGTAAGCCTAATATTTTTAAGACCAAAGTCAAAAAAGAAGAAATGGTGGCTAATTATAGCCTTACAAAGACTGAACTGGACCTTGCTCAAGAAATTAGTATATTTCAAGGGTTTAAAAACCTTCATTCAAACAGTAGAAAAAAACTGGTAGTTATAATAATGGATCTAAAAGATGGTTACTACCACCTTTTAGTAGCAAAGTATGCACAAAAACTACTGGGTTTTAGATTTTATGATGACTGGTACCATTATTATATTTTACTATTCAGGTTAAGCCAGGTGGTATGGGTCTTTTTAAAGGTAATGTAAGCACTAATTAGGCATTGGCATTCTATAGGTATCTACTATAAGAACCATGTAGATGACATCTGTGTTGCCTATCCAGAAGTCAATATTTTGAGTTACCGAAGAGATCATATAATTGCTCCAAACTTAAGGCTAAGTAGTCTAATATTAGCAGAAAAAGAAAATTGGAACCCATACAAAGACTCAAATTTTATAGTCTGATACTAGACACAGTAAAGGCATTAATAATAATTTCACACAAAAAAATAAAAATAGCAAAACAGGCCCTAAAACATCTGGCAATGTAATGAAAAGTTATAGCATAGTCCTTGGCATCAGTAATAAGTACATTAATGAGCTTGAGCAGAGCCTTTACATTAGCAAAATTGTAATGCCTAGAGTGTTATAACTTGATCAATGCAATGTATCACGAACTATAAAAATATGATCAAACAATAAAGTTGTTAACAAGAGCAAAAGAAGATGCAAATTGGTTGGTTCAAAATTTAAAAAAAAGAAACAGTTGCCTAGTATAAAAACCTTTATGTATACTTTCATTGTTCATAGATGCTTTAATAACTGGCTAGTTAGCAATACTATTTGCACAGAAAGCATTCAAGAACTGAAAAAGAAAGTATTAATATATGAAAATAGCAAAATTAAAGTCTAAGGCAACATTATTAGACCTTTAATCTTTTGCCAAAATGCTGGCACATCACTAGGTAATAGTTTTTATAAACAACAAAGTTGTAAGAAAAACAATAGAATTGGGAAGGAAAGCACCTTGGCAGAAGGAATATATAAGAAAGATCTAAAACTTTTATAATGAAACAGACATTTGGATATATGAATTTTGATGAGTGCCAAATGCAAAAAACCTAGCAGATGAACTCACAAAACATTATGATGAGTTTGACTAGAGTTTAAAAAAGGACATTTTCAAACTATTGGATCATGCATAGGACCTATATACAATAGACTGGATGGCAAGCAAAATTATAACCCATCTTTCAAGGTTTAACTTATTTTGGCTCTGTCCAACTATAGAAGCTATTGACTGCTTTACACAAGACTAGAAAGGAGAAATAAACTACATGTATGCTTTCTTAGATCAATTAGATTAGATGTTTTATTATATAATAAAGAACAAAGCAACTACAATAATATTTGTACCAGTTTGGCTTTCAGCTCTCTGGTGGTCAATCATGTTACAATACTTGTATCAAAAATAGTTGCTGCTAAACCTAGAAGAGATTTTTCTTCCAAGTATAAGTGAATCAGCAGAACTACTAAACAACTGAAATTGAAAATTTATAGCAGTACAAATGCTGTTTTGAGCAACTTGCTATTATAAGCACACAATATTTTGTGACTAAAATTGGTATATGATTATAAATTAATAGTCATTTGAGTAATTTTATTGACTTCTGTAAGGCATATAGACTAGTAACTTTACCAGCCTCACAAGACAGTATGCTAGCATATTTAATTTAATCAAATATATGGGAATGAATACTAAAGCTCATGCTTGTCCTAATAGCAATAGTAAACCAACATAGTACACAGAACTTACTAGACTTAATAAAAAATTACAAAGTAAGAAGACTAATTAAGTTACTGTTTAGTCTAGTAGTAAAAGATAGAGAAGCTGCATGGCCACAGAATTCACTAACTGTCAAAACATTAAAAACTTATGTGGATAACTTACCAAAAGCCACAAATTACAAAATATAAGTGCATAACTATGCATTAGTGGGAATTGGCCTATATACAATGCATAGAGCAGTAAAGTTGATAGCTCTTTTTTTAAAAGACTTCAAAAAAGAAAATGGCCTTTTATGGATCCACATAAACAGGTTAAAAATTAACTAACAGGACACAGAGAAATTTATTTCAATTGAACCAACTAACTTTAAATTCTGCCTGTCAGACTATAGAAAAAATATTTACAAATTAGAAAAAATTTAAGTAAAATAGTATTTTTGTTAAATAAAAATAGAAAACTAACTGTAGAAACTGTCAGTGTTATTGTAAAACAAGTAGCACATCATGCAGGTTTAAGAAAAAGATATTTAAGCTATAGCTTGTGTATAGATAAAACAATGGTTACAATAAAGGCAGACCTGTCACTACCACAAATAATGGTCATAGGTGGTTAGATATCAAAGGCAGTATTGTTATATTAAAGGCAGTATTGTTATATTTAAGAATAATTGTGATGACACAGATAAACATATTAGTAAAGATGGGCTTTTAGAAGGTTCGAAAAAGTTTATTTTTCAAAAATAATTTTCTTTTTATTTTTATAACTTTCTATATGATGTATTTTTTTTGTATTACTTGAGTCATAAAAATTAATTTATTAATTAATTGCACTATTGATATATTAAAATACTAGCACTTAACCCTTGCAATGCTTCAGAAAAAAATAAAAAATTATTTTACTTTAAATTAAAATCATTTTTAATTAAAGTTGATAAAAATATTTAATCTCAAATATTTATATAAAAAATATATTTTTAAAATTACAATGTTGTAAAATTTTAATTATAATTATAAATTATTTTTTTTTACATGGTTTTTTTTTTTTTTTTTTTTTTTTTTTTTTTTTTTTTTTATATTTTTTTTGTAGTAACTTTTTTTTTTTAAAATCTTTATTTTTTTAATTAAA